TAGGATTCAAACATGAGCAGTCTGGCCCCGTAACCTGAGCTCTTTCTCACTTACAGAATAGCCCTGTCCCTGCTGGACAGTCAGGCTCAGTCATGGCACAGTTTTGAGGCTGATGAGAGGGTCAATCCAGTTTATAAGAGAAATGCTGGCAATACAGGGTGTCCCAAAAATGTATACACACTTTGAATGATTATAAAGGCAGTGTTTATCAAGATACATTTCACTTTCAAAATGTACTAGAATTGGCTGTTAATGTGTGTGTTTGCACTTTTTGGGGACATCCTGTCTTTGTAAATGCGTTATAAGAGTATGGCAATGCTTCCTACCCAACCCCAAGGCAGAATAGTACAAGCAAAATGACATCTGGGTGCTCCTGTTGGAGTGTGTGGGGACTTCCCTTTGCCTTGGTTTTCTCCCATATGGATCCTCTCTGCTCATGGATCTGGAATCACTGACAGGAACCTGGTGGGAAATTCTTCACTTTGGGCTGAAGCCAACAGGGGTCATGGTGTGGGTGTATGTGCAAGCGTACGTGTGTGTGTGTGTAGACCTGTCTTTACTGTGGTGGTATTATCTAATAAACAAATTTAAATGCCAAGAGGATGAAGAACTTTCCCTCTTTCATAAGGATCATTTGGTGACTCAGTTCTCATAATAACTTCTCTTGGGACAGTGTGTCAAGTTTTTCAGGGCAGCCAAGACATCATATATTCTTTAGGAAAGCATTTCCTAAATATTTAACCCATATTCTCTAGTGGAGTATTTAACCCAATTCTAATGTGTTGCCTTGGCTAGAAGAAAGCTGGTCCTTGGCCTCCTTATGGCCTATCTTAAAGTGAAGTGCCCTTGAGCACAATTACATCATGACTCAGCCACTGACAGATCCTGAGTAGTCAAATGCCAAAACATCTTGGGTCCACGTTAGCAACATGTTTTACTTTCATTCCTTATCTTCAGACTTACTCAGACTTGTCTGAATATTTATTCCTCACTTCACCACTACCCTGTTTCCCTGAAAATAAGATAGTATCTTATATTAAATTTTTCTCTCAAAGTTGTGCTAGGTCTTATTTTCAGGGGATGTCTTATCTTTCCATGCGCTAGGTCTTATTTTCGGAGGATGTCTTATTTTTGGGGAAACATGGTAGTTGTAAGTGTTTAACACCCACTAGCATTTAGTTTGGAAATCCTCATTTTCCTGTGCTAACATCCCTCCACTGTTCCAATTTTCCTAGCTATTGATCAATTTTTCACTCTCTTTGTAAAGACTTCATTTTGAACAACTTGCTGGTCAAGGGATCCTTGGTGCACCAACCCAAGCCAGGACAAAATGACATGAGCATCTTGAAAAAGATCCCTCCTCAATCATTTCAGACTCATTGCCTTGCTGACTACCATAAGAAACAATTCAGGAGCCTCTGAGTTGTTCTTTCCCCTTTGTCAAGCTCAACGTTGAAAGTGCCACACTCACCAGGGCCTCCCAGATACTGCTTCTGCAGGGGCCAGGCTGCAGAGAATTGAAAAAGTTAACCCCCGCCGGAAAAGGCAGTAAAGGCAGTGAGGCTCTCTTCCCTGAGTAAGTCAGGAAGAGGGGCAGCTCTCAATGAATGTTACATTAAATCAAACCAGAAAGGAATCTAAAATAAGTTATTCAACCTATCTCCTTCTATCTTTGTTCAAGTTCTGCCTTTGTGATCTACTTCTCACACTTGGGATTGTAGACAGAACTTGCATTGGCTGAGGTTGCAAAGAACCTTATTCTAGAAAGGAAATGATGTGATACAGCTGGAATTTTCAAAAGTGTCACTGACCACCCAGCCAGTTGGTTGAGCATCATCCTATGCACCAAAAGACTGCTCAGGTTGCAGTTCAATTCCTGGTCAGGGCACATACCTGGGTTGTGGGTTTGATCTCCAGTCAGGGCACATACAGAAGGCAACTGATCAATATTTCTATCTATCTCCCTCCCTTTCTCTCTTTAAACATGTCACCATGTCATCAGGTGAGGATTAAAGAGATTTTTTTTTTAAACCCTTAAAAAGAGGCTTAACTGGTTTGGCTCAATGGATAAAACGTTGGCCTGTGGATTGAAGGGTCCCAGATTTTATTCTAGTCAAGGGCAAGTACCTTGGTTGCAGGCACATCCCCAGTAGAAGGTGTGCAGGAGGCAGCTGATTGATGTTTTTAACTCTCTATCCCTCTCCCTTCTTCTCTGTAAAAAATCAATAAAATAGTTTTTTAAAAAGAAAACCTTTTCAAGGGTTTTTTAGTGTTACTGACGGACAGAAATAAACATCTCCTATAGAAAGAGATTAACCCTAAAACCAAAACTCTTATAAATAGGCTTTCTTTTTTTTTTTAGTTAGTAGAATATCATTATTTTAATCTGGACAGATGTTTAGAATACACTGAATGGGCCATCCACAGTATTATCTAACCCCTTAGATGTTTCTCCTTACTTTTCATATTTAAACTGCTGGTGGGCATTGGGCTTGAAAGCCCTCCAAACAAGGTAGGCATCATTAATTGATGGTTCTATGTCCAAACCTCAGAAGGCTAGCTAGCTCTGCGGGAATATTTTCTCTTTGTAAAGCATTGGCCTCCCGCAGCAGTGAAAGCATTAGAAAAGCTACCAAACCTATAATTGTTGTTCATAACCTCCCTCTTAGGGTCAACAGGAGAATGCATTTCCCCCTATGTAACAGAAGGGAAAACCTAAGCTCTGTTTGTTTCTCCCTTCCTCCTTTCAAGGTGAAAGGGAGAGTTTTTCTATGGATGTGTCTCTTCACTGAGATCTCAATAGAAGCTCCCTCATGATGTTGATTTACTTATCAAGTAATCTGAAAGGAGGAAATTAGCAGAAGGCAGGCTAGAAGTGTGAAGAGGAAGAATGGCAATCCTCATCTGCACTAGTGGAAACATTTGGTACATTGAATAGCAACAGTTCACTAAACATCAGTGAGCACAGGGTTTCAGTACTGCAAGGGTACGTTGAAAACTACAGCAGAGCTTGACTTTCAGTATTTGTTAAAACACTTTCTTGCTTTCAGGCATTTTTTTATGAAGTCAAGCTTGGGCTTGTTTTCACAGGAGACGCGAAGATAATGCATTGGCGTGGCTCCCTGGGAGACCCAGGAGTCAGGAAGGCACCGGGCTTCGAATTCTTGTTGTTATCTGCTGATGGCTTCTCAGGGCCAGCAGTCCGCCTGCGGGAGGAAAGCACAGGGACCAGGAAGCAGGAAGCTATTTTCTCTCTCTGCTTCAGGGGAGATGATGAGTGCTTTGCAGAGGAATTTAAGACCTATTCTGTAAACTTGTACTAATATGTGAGTTAGGACCCTGAGACAGTTTTCAAACAGGACCACTGGCTTCTGTTTATAAAAGGAGCTGACCTCATCTTGCTTCAGCAGCTGAAAGTCAAACAGCCAAGCAAACCTGAGGTCAATTTAGGCCCTAAAGGGGCACCCGAGAAGGAACACATTCAGACACTGTAATTTTTCAATGTCATTTATTTAAACCAAGATCAATTTATATTTTCAACGGGGTGGGGGGTGGATTTCAAAGATATAAAAATAAAAATATATTCATATTCGGAACAAACAATTTTGTTTAATTTCTATAAAAAAATGAAACTATATTTTTTTGGGGGGTGAAACCTGTAACATGGGAAATTGCTTCACTGGAATTCAAATTTCCACATGCAAAAACTCACTCATTTTGTTTGGGGTTTGGCTGAAATGGTTAAGGAGCCCAATAAAATAATTATTTGTTAGGCCCTGGATGGGTAGCTGGGTTGGTTAGAGTGTCATCCTGATATGCCAAGGTTGTGGGTTTGATTCCTGGTCAGGACACATACAAGAATCAACCAATGAATACATAAATAAGTAGAACAACAAATCTCTCTCTCTCTCTCTCTCTCTCTCTCTCTCTCTCTCTCTCTCTCTCTCATCAATAAATAAAAATTTAAAAAATAATTTGTTGAAAGGTGAAAACTGTAATCATAGTTGAGACTTTGGAAATAGTCAGTGCATGAACAAAGTAATAAGATCTCTCTGCCTCACAAGGATCCAGCCCCTTCAAACTCTTTTGAAGCCGTTTCAAAAGTACATTGTAACCTTAATAAAAAAAATGAGAGAGAAAAAAAAGTACGTTGTATTATTTTAATGACTGGCCTGGTTTTGCGTATGCATAAAAATCAGGAAAAGTGGCTAATCTGCTTAACAATTTCCAAGTTTGTTGCATCTAAGGTGGATGGGTTTGCCCAAGAACTGGGTGGGGAAGGAAGCACTGTGGATATAGGTTTCTTCAGAGCTGCAGCATTTTCGGATAATTGCAACTTCACTTCATAAAATACTGTAATTTACTTTCTTTTTTGATAAATCTGTGTTTGTGTATATGGAGTCAGGTTTGTGGATATAACCTAGGTAAACCTCAGACAAAATCAACAATGACAAATAATTACCAAGTTTAAATGTTGGAAGCATGATAGAGACCCTACTGAAGGCTGAATGAAGGCTTGAACTTGGGACTCAAATCTGTTCCCACTGGGCAAATCACTAAACATCAGTGAGCACAGTGTTCCAGTACCAGCAAGGATAAACTGAAAACCACAAAGCATTATTCTGACTTTTCTTACCCTGGAGGACTGTGTAGAAAACAAAATTGATGAAGTGTTTGCAAAGAAATTCAAGTGGACAAGATATATACAGAGCTGCACAAGTTTGAGAGCCTAATCACTTCTTTCATAAAATACACAGCTTTTGACTTGACACGTTTACCTGTGTGTGATCATCATGGTAAAGTGACTTTTCATTTTCAGTATTTCAGTCCCTTATGTGGGATACAAACCTACCTACCCCCAAGCTCAACAGGGACCAGCACTGTGTGCTGTTACAATGAAAGTTAGAAGGAGATGCTTCTTCATTGCTTATTTCCCCTGAAGGCAATCACTTATATCTTGGAAGAAGCAGGACTCTGTAGTGAAAACATGCAGACCTGAAAGCAGTGCATTAATTATTTTATTAATTTCATCTTTTTACATTATGGGAAACATTCATCTATTTACAATTTTTTTTGTTCACACACAATCTAAGTAGATAAGCCTATGAAATTCCAATTCATAAATCCATAAAAATGTTCCCCATCCCTCCATCAGAAGGCTTTCAAGTGGATCTTTTTTTTTTTCTCCAAACCAAAATAATTTTTAAAAATTACATTTGGGAATTCAGATGTGCTAGTGATTTACATTCCAGTTATTTAAAATATGCATCTAGACATGTTTTAAAAAAGAAATGGTAAATTCACAAGGATAAGGCTTAAATTAAAGTGGTAATGCACAGTAAAACATTAAGGACACATCTATAAATAACAGAAATATATTACAAATAAATTAGTTCTATTTACCATTTCAAATATTAAAAATCTTTAATCCATTTCTTCATCTCTCTTTACAAAAAGGTTATGTGAATTGTATGGAAACAACTGCAAAAAATATAATAAATACTTAATTTCTTTGAACTATTTTTTGATGCGGGAGACAAACTTCTTTTTTAACTCCCCCTCCCCAAGAAAATGCCCAAACATCTTTATACCAAAGTTAAACAAAATAAATAATTTTCAGGGTACATACATTTTCCTTTATGAACTAAGAAACATTTCTACAAATACATCAAAAAGAACAATGTAACAAAGGTTATGCTTATGGATGTCAATTAAAGGGGTCAAGTGGTTAACGAGCCGCTTTATGTGGGGTCATGTTTTAACATCAATAACTAGCTCTTTATAAAGTGTTTGTACAATTTGTGTTTTGAAGGAAGGCAAAGGTCATGATGCCTGTGGGCATTTAGCTCAAAGATTTAAAATTCTTACCAAAAATAGCTTATGAATATACAAATACCACTCACAGGGACAAGATAAATAGGACTTCACTTGTCTCTCTTTAAAATATCCTGGGCTAGACCAGTTTCCAAAGAAAATACTGTAGGGTGATCTTGAATTGTATTAGAAATCTATTTCTTACTCCAAATCTTCTCTCTACCTCAGGGCACAGAACTGTTGTTGGGAACATGGGTTTTCCAAAGGATTCCACTTCCTTCGTGTTCATCTGTGAGTTTATCTGTGAGTCATTTGCAGGACTGAATGTGACCATACGCTACCCAAGGTGGCAGTTGGCCTTACTTAACGAAAATTTTGTGTGACCTTCCATTGCTGCTAGAAAGTAAATAAAAGATGTATTCTTTTTAGAACCAGCAACACCCGAAGCTAAAAATCTCTGTATGCTCCCATTTTACAAAGCACTCAAGGTGCTCTGTTCACCCTAACTAAAAGTTTGTTTTGAAATAAGTTAGTAGCCCTTTTCTTGTAAACCACAGCAGTAAACATTTGTGCCCTGTTTACAAAGATAGCTCAAAGCATCGATGGCTCTGAGAGGTAGCGAATTCTCTAGTGGTTTTTGAATATGTCCATGAAGATAGTTGATGCCAGAACCCATCACCTCTCTTAATTTCAGAAATAAAATTAAATTAGCACCTGGCGATGCGAGTGCGTTTTGTTTTGTTTTTTGAAAAAGCTTCTCTGGTGCAAGCGTATTTGATGTATGTTTTTAGAAGTCCTTCATTTTTCAATGGTAATTTCTAATACTTTAGGGTGGGAACTGGACATAAAACGCCAGTGGTACTTTAAGATCACCATATTCTAAACGCGTTAACTGCTATGAATAAGGGCGTTTAAGGAGAACGTCAGCAAAGTGCATACTGCCCATCCAGCATGACAAAAATGTAAGTCAACATTCTCTGCCAAAAGCCTGGGTATCTCTCAGTGTTTGTGCGTCGTGACTTCTCCCCTCTCCTTGTGGTTGTTGAACCTTGCACGTCAAATTTTTCTCACTGCCGGGGACTTCAAGAGGAGTGGCAGCTCTTTGGAATGAGGCGTGTCTATTGGGGTAGAAAATTTATTTTATTGGGTTGACCTAGGACACAGTCCTTATGCTAGGGGATGATAGGACCCTATGTAACAGTGAGAGAAGGCCAAAGGAAGAGATATGTCAGAAGTATGAACTAACAGGTTAAAGGAGATGGCTGTAGAGCATTCAAGGGGATGATGGGAAAATCCGAACTCTTCTCTGAAAACCACCTGGCTGCCATTTACAGCGCCTCAGTGGTTAGAACCACACCACTTACATAGGTGTGGTTAGGTAGGGTCCCCAGGATGGACACTAACAAATAAACAGAACCAACAGTTTGCCCTTGAAGGTCCTACTGCACAACAATATAATATACACAACACAATGACAGCTGGTAAAACATTTCAGGTCTAAGATTTTTTTAAAAATAACAGAACAAAACATCACTTATGTAGTATCTTAAACTATCAGTGCTTCCTTTGCCTTGCCTTTCCTCATTTTATTGCCTTTCAGAATAGATTTCCCTGAAAGATCGAATTTACAATCTTCTGCTGATTGAAACACTTGAAGCAGTGATTGATGAAGGATCAGTGAGGCAGTTTGTGCAGCTGTGAGCGGTGCGGGTACCCCCAGCACCCGCAGATTTTGCTCCTCCCTTCCCCACTACACATCCAGGTCCCCCACCCCCAGCCCAGCTCGGTCCCCTCTTGGTGTGTCACTCATGGATTCCGGTGAGATGGCATGATTTCGGAGGTTGGAAATAAAGTGCTCCACCTGCTTTGTAAAAGAATAACCATTGGGGGAAATAAAAGGGAATCGAAGCCCTCGTTTCTTTCGCGTGGAAGACGGTTAAGTCCCAAAGGATCACCCTGTGATACTGGATTTCTGAAATACCCTACGGTGTTATATTGCTGAGCTCTAGGGACACACTAGCTTGAGAGAACTGAGGATGCGGGCGACTTACAGGGGCGATCTGTGCACGGGTGGGCTTGGCTTTGCCAAGAAAAGAAAGGGCTGTCTATCCGGGTGAGGCAGGCTGGCGCCTCGGTACAGGTGGCGAAGCTCAGTGAGTAACATGGGCCCGCTGGTCCGGGCAGGGGGACTGGGGGAGGTCCTGCAAGGTGGACGGCTAACTACACGGCGACGGTGGAAGTCACTGGGCTCAGACGGACGGGCTGGGGCGCAGGGGCCGGGAGGCGGCGGGCGGGCGGGTCCTGGCGGGGGACGCCCGGGACCTCAGAGCCGGGTCTGCGCCTCGGGGATGTAGATCTCGATGCTCTCGGCGCTCTCGGTGGCCGAGTTCTGGCGGACGGACGCGGCGCGCCTGGCGGCCATCAGGCGCTTGCGGGCCTCCTGGCGCTGCGAGCTCTCCAGCGAGCGCTCCCGGATCAGCGGCGCGGGGCCCTTCGCCGGCTTCTTTGGCACTGGAGGAGGGGCCCTTCTCTCCTGATCAAAGCAGAAGGTGCAGGACATTACACAGCTTCTCAGGACAAGCTTGGGGGAAACTGGGATAGGTCAGTGGTTAGAACACACACACTTTTTTTTTTTTTTTTTTAACCTAAGGGTGGTTAGTTCTGATCTGCACACTGCATACCAATTTCTCTTCGTTTTTTTTCTTTTTTCTTTTTTTCTTTCTGGTTTGGGGATTCAAAAGATGCAGGGGGGAAAAAAATACCTGTAAGCTTAAGGCCAAGGGTGAGGCTGGACTGCAGAACTAGGTCTCTCCAAAGAAATGCTGTGGGTACCCGAGGGCCCCCTGCTGAAAGGTTCTCTCTGGAGGCTCCAGACTCCTCCTGCGGCCAGAGATGGGCCAGGGCTGCAGCCCTGCAGCCGCAGCAGCTTAGAATTCTGCAGCCCTCTAAGGAGGGAGGCAGCCCCAGGGAGGTGGGTTCAGCATTTAAAAGCATCACCACTCTCTCCGCAGACCCCCCTTTCCCCCAAGCCTAAAGAGCCAAATGAGGAAGAAGAGGTGAGACTGTGTTCCTTTAGCTTTGTAGATGCCTCGGGCGGGAAGTTAGTCACACTCGTTTGCACACCACACACAAACACACAGCAGTGGACAATCCAGGGTCACCCTGGAGGGAAGACATGGATAATGCCTACACGCTCAGCTCCAAAACAGCTCCTAAAACATCCAACTGGATGTCACTCGGGGCCCAGAAAGCTATTCCTATCAGAGGGACTGAAAGAGTTCATCTGCCGTAGCAACAGCAAATTATAAAACAGATATTCAATGCCATTACAAAGACAGAAGCCACTCATAACTTCCGTAGGGAAAAAAAAAAATGCCTGTGGGAAAGAAGGAATCTAGACCAGAAAGGATTCTTATGAAAAGGATGATAAACTGAGGCTGCGAAATGGTCCATGTGAATGTTTTCTTTTTAAAGAAAATACCCTCGGTCCTCATCAATACATGCGAAGTGTGTCATACATGTGAAAAGTATCTTGAAGTGTAGATGCTATGATTCTCCAAAGGACATTCCTTGTGCCTTAACACTCATGCTGGTCACAGCGGTCCCTCCGGGGCTGGCATGGGTGGAGTGCCTAGTTAAACTGAGTGCACTGGAGCTGCCCTCAGGCCGTGTGAGGGAGCATCTGGGTGGCCCAGAGGACGGGAGAGGAAGCACAGAATGCAAACAGTATTCTGTCAACTCTGATTGTGCTCATTCATTTCCCCCCACTAACGTGCTCCGGATGATGAGAAGCTCTGATTGTGGACAAAGTGTGTAACGATTTAGAAATCAAGTTAGCTAGTGATATACTGTGCGAATGTCAATAATTACATATTGACATTCTTATCTTATCTTAGCATCACTCATTTTGGATATTTAAAAATCTTCATTTTTGAGTAACTTCTTGTTGTATATTTTAAAAAGTATGAATACTGATCATTTTCAGTCATATTTTCCCATTTGTGTATATTACATATCTTAACAATAATTTTTTAAAAATCAACAAATGGGAAATTAGATGGGTGTGTGTTTACATCTGTAGTTTTTTTTTTTTAATTGGACTGATTCAAAAGCTTATCTAGCAGACAATTTTAAAAAAAGATAAAAAAACAAAAACAATCTAGGTGACATGCAAATGTTTGGCTTCTCAAGAGAGAGGCCACACATACACCAATGGTATTTTGATGCTTAACACTAAAACCCTCAGGTTAACAGGTGAGAGAACGGGTGAGAGAATTGGAAATTAGGGACGAGGATAATAGTGTTGCTTTCCTGTCCCTTGGGACTGGATTTCTCTGGGGAGCCCTCTGACCCTAAGAAACCTGATACTATGGGCAGCAACAGAACCGACTGGATTGCCATGAGCTCTCTATAGGTGAGGAGATCTGAAAAGGGCAGGGCCATCAGTGCTTCAGGGGGATAACCGTGAGTCATTTTTGCAGTTGAATCTCTTGGAACTATTTGACCTCAGGCCTTAGGAAAGCAAGGCATTAAAAAAGTGGTGCATGACAGCCCAGCCTAGGGAGGACATTGTATACCTGTGTGAGCCTGGTGGAACCACCATAATCCAATGTGAAAATTGCAATTTATTACTTAAAGTAAAAAATATGAGTCTTCATTTCTAAATGGTTGCATCCAATGAGCAATATTCCCCAAGGCAAATAAACCAAAAGTAAACTCTTTTATAAAGAAAAAAAACCCAACATTTTTGATTACTGTGAAACTTGATGGTGTGTATATTTTTAGACTTGGACAACAGTGGTTTCTTTATTCCTATATTTATGAAATGATTATCAAAGTCAGTTAGCTTTCAGGGCTTATTTTCCTTAGAAACACATCCTAGGGCTGTAAGGAAGTTGAACTCTTGCTCTATGTAATCATGCACTGAAGTTGTCATTTATTTTAGTTTAAAAAGCAAAATGGAGGCAGTTCCTTCCAGTGACTAAAATGGTTTAACTTAAAGTTTAATTAACAAAAAAAAAAAGGCCACATTCCCATTTTCCAATTCACAAAGACAGGTTTTTCGTTAAAAATATGCCTGAAACATATTACAGATAATATCCCAAATGATTACTATGTAAACATTGTCATTACAATGAAATTAATATGATGTCAGCTCCATTTCACATTGTAAACAGCAAGACTGAATGCAGAAGCCTATTTAGACTGTCCAGTGTTTGTGCAGGTTTTTAAATGAACCATACAAAATCTACATTGTTCTACCTTCTTGTCAAGAGGATCCATCTGTTTCCAATTATTGGCCTTTAACTGATGGAGTTCATCAAATTTCATACTAATATTTTCTATGGACAACTGCAGCATGTCCCAGAACCCCGCCAAATCCTGGGAGGTGGGCCTTGGATGAGCATTAGGGTTCTGTACAGAGAAAGAAGAATATCCACGCTTTAGAGGCGATCCATGACAACAAGCACAGGACCAAAGTAACATTCTCAAATACTTCAAACAACAGAGGAGGGCGAGTTCCTTTTGGTTTTCAGATTAAAGTGGTACTTTCATAGTAATTAGCCAATGATTATTTTAAAAATTATATGTTCAGCTTTACTGGGGTGTAATTGACAAATAATAATGACATTTAAAATGTACAATATGATCATTTGATATACATTGTGAAAGAATTCCCTCTGTCAAGTTAATCAACTTTAAGAAAAATGTTTGGTGAGAACATTAAGTTCTACTCTCTCAGCGAATTTTGGTTATACAGTACAGTGTTACCAACTATAATCAACACATTAGACATTAGATCCTCAGGCATAGTCATCTCCTAACTGAAAGTTTGTGCCCTTTTACCAGCTTCTCCCTATTTCTTCCACCCCTGAGACCTCAGCAACTTTTCTATTCTGTTTCTGTGAGCTTGACTTTTTTGTTTTAAAGGTCATTACAAATGGTAATTTTATACACACATCTGACTCTCAAATGCCAAGGTTATAAAACTCTTCTTTTGTAATTGGTACACTGTGGGGGGAGAGTAATCTTTTGAAAATCCAGAATGTATGATAAGATGCATATAAAATACCATATTTAATGAAAATACCATCTTTGAAAAAAGTACAGGGTATTAGGGTTGAAATTTGAATACCTGCTACCCAACTTATTCAGAGAACAGATACGTAATCTAAAATATGATTTGTTTTAATACTAATGTTGAGTGAAATACTAGGGAAGACAGATGAGGAGTAATAAAATATATGTTTGACAATTAAAATGCTATTAATATAAGAAGTCATTTATCATATAAGTACTTTGGCAAAATCATTTGGAAATGCATTTGTTTTAAACTGACCATAACATAATATAGCAAATATGAGAACACATATCTACACATACACAAAGAGCCTATAGTGATCCATTTGCTAGATAATATTGAACAGTCTTTGGTATTTAAGGATTGGCTTTCTTTGCCTCCATTCACATGTCACTCCAAGTATTAGAAAGTCTGAACCACAAACTATTATGATCTAAGACAGAAAATACATAACTAAGAGATTGAAGGTGCCATGCTCATTGTTAATCACTACCTGCAGTGGTAGCTAAAGCATTAGATTGGTGGGAGCTGCCATATGTCAGATGTTTATAGCTGGGGTCAGTTTTGGTTACCTCTAACTATTCAGGCAACTAGATAGACTGTGAGACCTTATGCTGTATAATAACTTGAGACTAGTTTATTCTTTTAAGACAAACCATCATAAAAAATGATATCAGGATTTCAGAAAGTGTAGGTCAGTGATCATCAAATTAATGGGCTGGAAAGAACTTTTTAGCCCTTTGAGTGGACTAGCATTATTTATCTAGACTTAAAATAAATACAAGTAAAGATGTTTTTATAAACTTATAGTTCTAAAACTACCCATAGTTCTGAAATTCATTGGAAGAAGTAAATTCTAAAGTTTGTAAGTATTTGGTTCAGTATTAAATCTGTGCTAATGACACCTGAATTAATGAAAGGGTTTCTCTATAACATTTAATTTAGTAAACTAAAAGAAAAAAAAAGTTTCTAAATATCTAGGTTCAGAAAGACAGATAATAGTTTGGACAAAACTCCATTTGAGAGGTACAAAAAAGTACCTCTCAAATGGAGTTTATGGTCTCACAATATATTTCCTTATCTTATTACTGACCAAAATCTAAATTGCTCATATTCTGGAGTTCACTAAAGTCTTTTAGGTCATAAACTCCATTGGCTAAATTGTTTCAGTGCACCAATGCATGACATGATAGCACAATAGGCAGAGTTATTTTTGACTCTATATAATGGGTAACTTGTTCCCTCCTCACCAGGAACCTCTTTACCCCCATATCATGAAAGGGATAAAAGAGGAAGCAGAGAGAAAGAGCTTAGGCACCCAGCCAGTCTCTGAATCAGTGGGTCATGTGACATCCCAGGCACAAGAAGAAGTTGTAGTACTAGCCTTAGTCTGAACCAGGCCACTTAGGGCTCAGAAATGGTGAAGAGTGTAAAAAGACAAGGGGGGTTGGGTTCCTTGGTTTAGTTTTACTGGGAAAAAGCAACTATCATCCATCCATTCTATGTCTGAGAGTCTAGAATTAGGGGTGTCGAACTCAATCAGAGAAGGGGCCAAAATCTAAAATCCAGCCTAAATCGCGGGCCGAATGGTTTACTGAACAGTCATAAACTGACATTGTGATTGCGGAGTGCAGTGATGACAGCGCGGTGCGGGCCACATTGCAAGGCCTGGCGGGACGGATTTGGCCCGCGGGCCTTGTGTTTGACACATGTGGTCTAGATAAAATGTGGTATTCAAGTGTTCCCTTCCTCAGAGTAAGAACTCAAGAAAGGAGAACTGGATCTGGTTGTGACTAATCTTAGTGTCATCCTCATGCAGCTTTGAAGACCTAAACAATGCCACTACCAGGTCACCACGCTTCCTGCTGCAAAGGTCCCTCCACAAGAGTAAGGAATGCAGCTCAAATTCTGGAGGATAAGTAGGGTGGTGGGTGGGTTTACATGGATTGAGGTCAAAGAGACTGAGATATGAATCTTGGTGAGGCCTCTTACAGGTGGCCCTGGTCAAGTTACTTGGCCTTTCCAGGCCCATTTTCCTCAACCATAAAACCATCATAGAAATGATGTCACAAGCAGCTCCATAAGGTCTGACACTGTGGGCTCCTGGGACATGGTTTGACCAGCCATCAGTGGCCCTTGGCCCACAGGGTAATGTTGCTTTCATCTACCTCTTACATGCTTCTCATATTTTGCCACCTTAGTTCCTCTAGTGGCCAAGGAATGTGAGCCCATCGGGAACTAGGAAACATCAAAAGATGGCTTTAAAAAGGTTAACCCTTCCTGGACATCTGCAAAATTTTCAAAGCATTTTGTCTGCAATTTGATCTTCAAAATCTGCATAATGTTTGTATTCTACTACATGATATATTTGCCTGTAATATAATTCTTTAAAAAGGCATGCTCTGTGCCCTGCACTGTGTGCACACTGGGCTCCAGATATACCTAGCAACCACTGTGAGAAGTATAGCTTTATGTGAGCTCCCTTACATTTGAAGAACAAAGAATCATGTTAATTAAGATCTGTGAAACATTACCAAGTTCACGAATTAGCGGGAATTCTGTACCTGGCATGAAGTGAAGCTCAATAAAGTATTTGTGGTAGTCATTTATCAATACATTTACTAATATATATTATCTTATAATCCAGAATAGAATTTCTGGGAAGGTGAAAGAAGGATCAGGTAATTTTTGCTGAGGGAAGGGAAAACAGATTATAGGTGGGAGGATGGTGAGCAGGAGGGAAGAGATAGCTCCAAAGGAAGATCTCAAAAGGAAAAGCCTGGTGCAAAGGGATTGAGAGTACTATTCATTTTTGCATGCTTCCTATTTTTTCTTGGCCGAATCCTGTCTAGATAAATCCCTTTTGGTCTGTATTTGTCCTTGTTAACAAGAAGATGTGGTTAAAACTCTGAAATCATAGTTTGGGTCAATTAGATTGCATATAAGAATGTTTTGGCTTTCAGCAAGATAAACAAGTTGCTTTTCATTGTCTTTGTTTTAGATCCAGCCTGACTAACAATTGGCCAATGAAAGCTATTCTGTGCAATGATACTGTAGAGCTAGCAGTAGTTTTTAAAAACTACTACATATGTGAGTGAGTTAGCGCTTGCCCCTGTATTAAAACTGGCAGTGGTGCCTTTGTGTCTGTTTTGCTTTATTTGGTTCTGGTATGTCTAAGAAGGGTTCATGTGTCTCAGGGAGATCAAATCTACACTTTGTGATGCCCTTCACCTCTGGCCCTTGAATTAAAACCGAGAACTCTGATAAGGATATATGAACTGAAGGCTATTCCAGAAAGAAACTCATTATCCACAATGATTTTCTGTAATATTATTTTTGAAATACCAGGGGGTCCCTATTTAGGTAAGAGTAATGAAATCAGAGATGCCATGTGAAAGCCAGGAAAATGGGGATTTTTCAGTTACCATAAAGCAGGAAATGGAGTTTTAACTTAGTTGGGTTTTTTTCTTCTAAGATTTTTTAAAGCATGAAAGTATTTTTAATTTTAACAAGAGCAGATAATAAGATTCATCAGAAAACTCTTTATCCAAGAGAGTCCAAGGGCCTTGACTGGGTTCAAAATCAGGCCCATCTTGATGACACACTCTTCTCATGGTACTAGCAGGAAAAGGTAGTGATGGGGAATGTTACCTACCAGGTTTTCTTCACACAGTTCTCTGAACTGGTAGAATTTCTGGGCCATGAGAAGCTGGGCACTGCCCACTGCCGTTCGGATTTTCCCTAGAACTGAAAAGAGCAAACATACAAGGAGTTTACACATGGTGTCTCATTGTTGAGCTTTAGTCTGGTAAAGCAAAGAGGAAGTTATGCTGCAATAATTTGGGAAAACAGCACACACACAGTGCACGCACCCACGTGCACACAGCCCAGTCGTGGTCGTTCCTCCACTGGTCTATGTGACAGAGGCTCCGAGGTTTTGAAAGCATAAAACCAACTGAGGGGAAAACACGTGCTCATCATGCATATTTCTCAGGGATCAGAGTTTTCCACCACAGCACTGAGCGTTACCAAGAGAAGAGGCAAACGGTTTTGTTTTGCTTTTTCCTTTTACTGCAAGGATGAACTGCAAGTGTTCACCGTATAGTTATGGATTTATTTGTGTCAGCAATCCGGGTCCGCCAGTTTGTTTGTTTTTAAACCCAAATCCAAACACAAGAAAAGCCATCCTGCCTTGGTGGGGGACCTCTTGGCACTCACCATGTTCCAGCCATAGCTTTCATTATTTGTCTGGAGCTCAGCGTCTGGCACTGTCAGGAAAGAGCCGCTGGCCAGTTGAAAGGCTTTCTAAGGAGTGAACATTTCAGACTGTTGCCTGGGGAACGCCAGTACCGTCCCAGCTTTCCCACTCCACAGCCCAGTGTTATTGTTGACGTGCGTTTAATTCCCTAAGCACTGTGCCGAAAACCTGCCCCTCTGCAAGCTACTTCTTGCCTTCTGTACAGTCTAAGGCGAGAACCTTTCAACCAACGGGCGTGCTGAGACGGGGGGCGGGGCGCTCCGCGCAGAGATAGCCTCATGTCTGCATTGTCCCAAAGCTCTCCCTCCAGCCTGCGGGGACCAGGGCACAGCTGCACTGCTGGAGCCCTGCCACCAGGCAGCTCTCAACACGCCCTCCCTGCCGGGAAGGAAGGCGAGAAGGCACCCTGCTTGCTCATAGGAAACCAGAGGGGAGACATCTCAAAGTGCACGTGGCCTGCTTTGGAATCCTCACCGGGGAGGCAGATTACAGGACTGGTTTTGCTGTGGTTTTGTTATGAATGTACAGAGCCTGAGACCCAGAGTGGAATCAGGTCTCCCTTTCTCGACCTCATTCCTCACAAAGTCTGAGGAGAGGGAAACAGAAGAAAAAGGAACTTCATTTTGGCCCAGGGTTTTCTAGAAATCTGCTTTGTTTAAAGCTGCCAGGCTAGCTCATGGTTTGTAATGCACATTACTCATGGGCACTCCTCTCATGGTTCAGCATTCCCACACACGTAACTCAGGGCAATGATGAACTCTCCAATATGTCACCAGTCACACCAAACAGCTGAAGTGCAGGAATTCGTCCGCTCAGTGATAGCGAGGGGCCGCCTTGGACAGCTGGCTGGCAGCTATTGCTCAGAGCAAAGTTTTTACTTCTTTCCAGTTTGCTTACACGCTTTTGAGGTTGTTCAGTTGTTGGAGGCCTCCTCTCCCTTTCTCAACACTCCAAAAGCAGAGGGACAGCACATGCAGACATAGGGCGCCACAGGAGTTAAGAACTCAGGCCCGGAGTAGGCCAAGGGTTCTGGCTTCAACACTTAGAGCAGCCATGGACCTGGACAGTCACTTGCTCTGTTTTCTCGCGTGTAAAATGGAGCAATTGGTGCCTATTTGTAGGGTTGTTGTTAAAGTTAAAAGTGGTAATGTATGCGAATTGTTTAGGTCAGTGTCTGTCTATAGCAAACACTCAATAAAAACATATAATCACCTAGGGCCAGGACATTACACTTCCTCTCACTGTGAGCCCCACACAGAGGAGAGGAAACAAACCGAAGTGTAGGTGATCCATGGTTGCCTGGGATGGGTGTGTGCTTTGATGACCTGTCCTAGAGCTGAGACAGGTCTGAGAAGGCACTTCCTAAATGAACACATGGCTTTTGGCCAACTCCGAGGTTCCTGAATTATCTTGCTGAAGGGGAGGATTTTGACACCAGCAATTTTCAGAATGAATCATGGGAGATTAGATCTAAGACCTAAGTCTCCCATTGGCTGACTGGGATCACTTAGCTCCTGGGAACTGACATAGGAACTCGAACAATTCTGATATTTCTCAAACTTTGCACTAATATTCTCAGCTACAGCCGAATACCTGCGCTATGTCATAGCCAGTCATACTAAAAGTAGCTAAGACGGTGACTGTCCATTGAGGAGAAAGAAGTGCTCCAAGCAGTCATCCAGGCAACACCCAACTATGGTAGGTAAGAGCAACTCAGATTTCTTCTCAAGGAAAGAAAGGGGCATCTTTCTCCATTCAGCATGATCTGGCCAGCACCCTAGATTTGGAGCAAAGATATCTGGGGTGGAGTATGACCCTTCTGATTCCCGGGTTTTTGCCATCATGCTCCCTGAGTGGAAATTCCTTACTGGCTCCAGGATTATTTGCATTTCCTAGGTCCAAGTGATGTTCTTTCCTGGGCTCTGGGTAGGGAGGTGACGATTTGGGTCAGGAGGGAAACTCTGGACCAGGGGGGCGTGGGACAATCGGACGATAGCTCATAGTTCCCTGACCTGCATGCTTTCTTTTTCAGAGAATTAAAAATTCATTTTAATGTTTAGGGAAGACATTCTAATGGGATTTGTTCTCTTTTGTTTGTCCACTAGTCACAAACGTGGGGTGTGAGATAACTTTTTCTCCTGGAAATAAATTTCATGTTTATTACATATGCCCTAAGGAAGTACAAAACTGATAAACAGTATGTGGTAAACATCAGTGGAAATAAACACTAGGAAAAATAAAGCTGAATGTTGGTGAAGAAATGAGATAACGAAGAAAGAGTCATTGTAATGTTATTTAGAAACTACTCTGAAACATTCTGTACCATCCTTCAGCAGAATGTAAAGAAAAAGACTTTGGTCAGGGATGCTAAGAAAAGAAGTATAAGGGAGCAACAGTAAGTAAGCTGTGGGCTTTCTCCATGCGTATAAAACAGCCCACCCTGGTATTAGAAAGTTCTGGAAGAGGCCTAGAGATAGTGCATCTTTCCAGTGTGTGCTTTGATGACCTGTCCTATAGCAGAGACAGGTCTGAGAAGACACTTCCTAAGTGAACACATGGCTGTCTGAGTGAGCCTTGCATCTCACCATTTTACTGCAGCAGGGCGGCAGTTAACTTCGCAGGGATGGCCTGGCCCTCTAGGACGTGGCCAAGAAAGCCAGAGGAGCCTAAAAGCTTGGCATCTATGCAGAAGCTGGTGGGCAAGGCCAACCTTTACATTATGTTTCCATGGACCAGGGACAGTCCTTGTGGGTTCTGGGAATTCATTCATTCATTCAGCAAATATTTATTAAAGGCACACAATGTGCCAGGCACTGTACTGGATGGATATGATATGGTGATAAGCAAAAGCCTTGCCCTCATGGATTATATTCTGATGAGAGACAGTGGGAGAGACTGTGAAACAGAAAAACAAAGATTTAAAGGTTTGGAATTTGCTAGATTACTTGAAATGATCAGATGCAGCTGAGTATGATTGAGCAATTCAAAGGACAGTGAATTCCTTAAACAGTGGTTAGAGAACATTCTGTCTCCTTGAACTCCCTTAAGAAATGGAAAACAAACAAACAAACAAACAAACACACACCATGGTTTGAGATGGTATCAGCTGCAATATAAAAATGGATTTCTGGACTAACCAGCATGTTTTATAATTTTATTTATTGATTTTTAAAATTGATTGACTTGAAAGAGAGAGAGGAAGAGAGATTTGTTGTTCCTCTTAATTATGCATTCATTGATTCATGTATGTGCCTGACTGCGGTTCAAAGCTGCAACCTTTGGCATATTTGAACCATGCTCTAACCAACTGAGCCGCCCAGCCAAGGCAACAGCTTGTTTTAGTAGCCATCGTTTGAAAATGCCGCTGTTTTTTATTTGGGAAAACATTAAAATACACAAAGTAGAAAGGCTAAAATGGCAAACATCTGTGTATATGGTCTTCCCTAAAGAAACAATTTTTAAAAATGCGCTTCTTAATTTGTATTTCTTTTCTTTTCTCTCTCTCTGTGCAATGAAATAAAGCTCTACAGATAATGTATATGTCACTTCTGTCCCGCTAGCCTCCCTTCCAGAGAAACCACTGGACTAGAAGAACAGTCCAGGCCTCTCCCTGAGTTTATGAAGGTTTTTCCCCCTGGTCCCAGTAAGGTGACAACTAAGGGCCCTTGGAGTGTAAACGAGAGAGCGACAGATGGGGCAATTCCACTGGCACGGTGAGACCTCAGCTTAAGGCAGCAGACTGTCTAAAGTTAGACAGAGGTTTCCAGCCTGTGTTGCTCCAGAGGGAAGATGTGCTGCTGGGTTCATTTAGCTGGTTTCCTTCACACTCTAGTCCATACAGTCTCTCCAGATTGCTCAACACGTAGGTAGTTGACAATTCTTACCTCCCATTTCCCTTAAGGCACATTCTACGTATCTTCCAGAATAATGATCTTTGCTGCAAACCCAAGCATGACATTCAACCAGGGTTTATACTATCTATTTGCGTAGTAGCTAATCATATAATACGCCTTGCTTTGCTGGGCCACTCCTTTTTATATTGGTAAATCTGCTTCTTCCTAGTTGTTTTATTAGCACTTGACAGTGCATTTTTAAGATCCCTTTCTCCCTTTCCTTTCCTCCAAGCTACTCAGTTAGTCTAGTCCTCAATGGAAGTACAGGACAGCAGCCATAAACGCTGTTGAACTAAATTCCTTCTATTTAAAAAGTGGGCACCTTTTTATTAACACTCCTATTTATAATGCTAGGAACCTCAGAGTCCACAAGAGATGGTTATGAGGGATCATAATGGAGAGGACAAGCCCAGGTTAATTTACCATCTAAAGCCAAGAAAAGTCTTCGGATGGCCATCCCTGTTTGGTTCTGGCAAAACTCTGTCTATTTATCTTATTACTTTGTATTTCAAAGCATTTTCACATGCACATCTAATTTGATTCTCCTAAGACCCTGTGAGGCAGGACAGATAGCATTTCATTTGGAAAATCTGGGC